AATAATTCACTTACAATGTTATTAGGATTTGTTTTATTCTAGTGTAGAAGAATTAACATTTACAGATTCCAATAAAATCCAAATTAAAGTTTTAATATATTATTAATGATAACATCAATATTTTAAGTAGTCTATTAAAAATTAATACCACAACTGATAATAAGAATTCAAAGTTCTAAACTGAGGAAATCCCTTCATTATTTGTGAAAATTTAGATTTTTTAACATAAAACATTTTTGGTATTTTGAATGCTAATTTAAGCTCTGTATTATTGTTTAACATAAAATTATTTGCCATTATTTTTAACTTAAAAAGTTTTTCATTACAAGAAATTTAACTACATACACAACATCATAAAAAAAAAAAGAAAATTTTCCTGTTCTTACCTGTAAAGACATTTTCCTACAATCCAAATTAGTGCCAACCCTAAGTAAACAACTACTGCTGCTATGATAGCTAAATAAATTTAAAAAACAATGTTTTAGTGATATGCAGATAGTGGTGTTTATGAACACTGAAAAGTAAGACAAGATATTAAGGATGTTTTTTTTTCTATGTATAGTAATGAACTGTTCCAAGCTTCAAGTTAGAGTATTAATCTATTTAAAATTTATTAAATTACACTTTAATAACACATTAATAACACACTCTAGAAAGTTGTACTTTAAGTATATAAAAGACCTAAGAATGAATTTGTATAAACAGTTTATGAAAACAGTGAATGTATTAAGTTTTTCTTAGAAGGTAAAAAACCTAAGAGTGCAACTAACATTAATTTTTGTAATAAAAATATATAAATCACTACAGAGTTAATTTTGGATGTTTCATATGCTGATATTCTTCTGTAATGAAAGGATCAATCATTTATTCTATAGCAACTTCTGTTATTGCCAAATGGTTTAATATGAGTGTGTATCACATAATCTAATGTGTTTTAACACACACACACAAAATACAGATTATGCATACTTTATAATATAAAAGACTCAACTATGACTATAATTAAAATGCTTCATATACACTAACTGCTATATACAGGTGAAGGGATTGAAATAATCAGTTATAACAATAATATCTATATTCAATATAGGTTGAATACTTTTTTGTACATGTTTTTCTCTCTTATTAGATACTACTATACCATTCTTCAAAACACGTTTATGCACTGAACTTTATTTCTACATATGGCATTAATTTTATTCCAAGTTAGTAAGAAAGCAGAGTTGACATCTCCAGAAATAACTGAATGGTTACCTTCAGCCTACCTAAATCTTGCAATAGATATTTTTAATACATAGTTCTGCAAAAGATAATTGGTGTGAGACAAGTTCATCTAATGAAAGTCTCCTTAATCTGTTGAGACTATTGTTTCTGTATATTGTTTCTCATAAATAAATGTATGTTAAGCAATTTAACAGGTGAGAGTAAGACAGTAATCATTTCAAAAATAAACATCAACTTACGAATACAGGTATTGACAGGTTCCTTTGTGGTCATAATTAAACATCTTTCACTTTCTTGCTTGTTTTCTTCAACTACCATTAAGTAATTTCCATATTCTTCAAAGTTGTACATTTGGCTGAAAAATGTAAATTACATGCTATTAAGTCTGACACACACACACACACACACACACACACACATATTTATACCCATATATATATATATATGTATATTCTGTTAGCATTAAAGTTTATACATTCGATAATAGAAAAACAAAAAGTAAACCAAATCACCCATTCCTACTTTTTTTCTTAGGAAAAACTCAGCAATTATGTAAAATATGATGGAAATACACTAGAACAAAGTTGACAACATATTTCTGATCAATTATCATCACATTCATCATTTCAATATTCTATTCAGGGCCAAATGTACCAAAATGCATGTCAATTAATACTTTAAATAAACAACACCCTTTCTATGCTTAGCAATGTTAACTCAATAATCCAACAAAAAATAAATGATCTATTGTTTAAGGGCATGTTGTAATCAATAGCAATAACGCTAATGAGTTAACTGATATACTGCTTATATTTAAGCCTAAAATTATCCAAGGTACTGGACTATCCCTACTTTAATGCTGCTGCACATCTGAAGGTTTATAATTAGACATAGAACAGGACAAAACCAATGAGTGATTCAGCATGTATTAAGTTATACAAAAAAAATCACTCACTGTGTGACATAGAATGTACTATCAATGTTTAAAATACTATAACTGAGCATACAGCAAGAATAATGAAAATACTGAGTGCTGATGATAATCTGTGTAAATCTTATATATATATATTGCGAATCGTGGCATCTGTCCAAGTGTTTATCTGTCTCCTGTTTATGGCAGCTGCTTCCCACACTGCATTTGAAAAGCTGCACAAGCAGGCAAAGCTCAACATTCACTTTTGAAATGGTGGAATAACAGACATGAATAATGTTGATGAGGAATTAATCACACTATCATTCATGTTTCAAAATGTGACATAACTTAAAGAATAAAAATGTAGATTTACCGAATGTTATTGTTGACAGGCTCTTAGCATGACTGAACTGCTCAACAATTACTTTTTGTGGTGGGTGGTATAAGTAGCTCGGAGCTTTGGCTCTGAATGAAACCATGAGTGCAACACAATTAACATTTTTGAAGTCTGTGAAATAATTCAAATTGATAGATTAACTTAAACTTTTCTCGTCACTGGGATGGGTACTTTTGCTTGTTTTTATATATTTTTCTAAGTTTCAACCAAATGTTACAAGCATGTATCATCCACCAAGAACATTTTGCTTGGTTCTTATACAGTAGGTTTTAACATACTATATCATAACACTTGAGGGACAATAAGGGCACTCTAGGCTGATCGTTGCTATCCCATTCATTTCGTCAAACTAATGCTTTACATATTTAACAAGCCTTCTCTTGAACTTTCTGCACTTGTTGTATTTACTACATCTGAATTCTATTCCTATTCCAAATGTTAGCCACTCTGTTCAAACAAATTAATTTGGAGACAATTGACTTCTAGCCTGCCAAATCTTAAATCTGTGTTCCCTAGTCCTACCACTCTTACCATTATCTATAAAAAAATCCATTTCCTTTATAATTTTTAACAACACTTCAATCAAATCCCCTCTAGCTCTTCACCTCTCAAGAAAATAATTTTAAGGACCTTAACCTGTCCTCATATAACAGACTCTCCATCCCAGACTACTAGACTTCTTTTGAACCTATTTCCAACACTTAATGTCCTTCTTAAAGTAAAGACTGAACCCAATATTCTAAGGGATGCCTCACCTGGGATCTGTACAAAGAGATGGTAATCTCCATTTGATGGTCCTGTAGATACAATTTGAAACCCTGTTTAGCTTTCCCACTGGCAACAGCATATATATTGTTACATCTCCGTTTGTTAATTGATTTTCCGTAACTTCGTTCCAACGAAACTTAAGCAACACAAGTTCCTTCTTAATAAAAACTGGTTTATTCTTTCCGAATACAACTTTACCGATACACTCAACTTCAACAATCGAGCTAAACAAACGCTATAACGACGAACGTGCTCAATATTACTCCTGACTGCAGATCAGTTACTCACTATCTACGCACACATTAGATTCTCCTCTTTTATATACCAGCCTACCCTCTATCCAGTA